GATTGTTCAAGTATAACAGAGTCTATAATGAGTTGCTCTTTACAGCCTCTGGAATACTTGGTACACCCTTTTTGTTCTTCGTGTAGAATGTTGTTATCACTACAGTGTTGGTATATTTTGTTTGTAATGCATGATGTAAGGATTTTGTATATTGTAGGAAGGCATGTAATTGGCCTATATTTAGATGGGTCTTGTGTATTGTTGTCTTTTGGGAGCATGTAAGTGATACCTTGTGTAAAGAATGCGGGAGTGCGATCTGGTGAATTAAGAAGTTCAGTAAATTGTTGTGCAAGGTAAGAGTGAGTGTAGGTAAAATATTTCCACCAAAAGTTGTGAATGTTATCAATGCCTGGACTTTTCCAGCTATGTAAGTGATTAATAGTTTGAATGATGTCTGTTGTAGTGATGTTTGTGTTATTCATAGGGGTAATGTATTCAGTACGTGTGGTTTCTGTGGTAATCCACGGGGCTTGTGGATTGTGTTTAATGTCTTTGGTCCATAAGTCAGACCAGTATTGCTGGAGTGAGTGTAGAGATGGTGGAATGAGTTTTTCATTAGTGCTGTTTTGTGTTAGTGATCTGTAAAATAGTTTTTCGTTATGTTTAAATTGTGTGTTATGGCGCTTTCTGTTTGCAGTTTCCCTATAGCGTTTTAAACGGTTTGTGTATATTGATAGTTTTTGTGTGAGTGTATCTCTATGTTCGTTATAGTTTGTATTTTGTTCTCGTGTGGTGTGATTGTTTAGTTTTGTAGTTATGTGTTGTACTTGTCGTGTTAGTTTTGAAGAACGAGTTCCTTGTATGTATTGTGTAATCCGACCTAAGTCACGTCTGATGTCATCGATGCGAGTTATCAGGCGTTTTTCCCAGGCCGGGGGTGAGCGTTTTTTTGTTGTGTGCTGTTGTTTGTTTATTGCTATTCTTGCACCGTTGCATCTAGAAACTGCAACCGCACCGCAATACACAACAAAGTGTAGTTGATGTAAGCTTGTGTTATCGTTAATGTAATTTGGTCAAATGTGGTCATTTAATGTTTGTGACAGTGTGCGTAATTTTGTAGTGTGACTTTGTTTAGGTATTCGTGGTCTTTGCGTTGGGTCAGTGTTTGAGAATTCTAACACTGCATTGTCGAATTCTTTTTGAAGGGATGTGAGTGTTTGGTTCGTGTGATTATTTGTATCTATCGATGGCTGCAGTGTCGCAAATGTCTGTATTTCAGAGTTGTTTAGAACGGATGTATTATCTTGTACGATGAGTGTGTTGTTTGTGTTGAGTAGTGCTTCAATTTCGTGCCTGATTTGTTCCTGTGTGTCTAATGTAAGGAGTGTATTTTTAATGATAACTCTACGTTGGTCTGCAATGCGTTGTTCTGTTAAGTGTGCTAAATGTGGGTATTGTGTAATGAACGCGTGATGTAGTTTACCTCTGTATGCTGTCCTGTCCGTTTCCAACTTCGTGATCTCCAGATACGTACCGAAAATGAAGCGATTCATCCCTTCGTCCCATTTCATACGTCTTTTGGAGGTTTCCTTTGCGCTGGTCCCATCCACAAGCGGTTGAGAAGCAGGCACAAAGGTTTCTTCTTGGTGGTCCTCTTCAAGTGGTCGTTGTCGTCTTCGTGGTCTTCTTTCGGCTGTAAAGGTTTCGGGTATCCCGACGAGCGGCCGCCTGATCACCAACTCGTCACTATCGGCTCGCATGCTGCAACGCCCAGCGATAGCTCCAGACGTGCCCTGACGCTCCTCAGGTAGCGGCATTTTTCCGAGGCTTTGTTTATACTCCATTTTCATGAGAATATGGGGTGACTAGGAACACGTGAAGGCGTCACTCTTCAAGATATTCGCGTAGGCAAATATCCACCTGCGTGTTGTGTATATGTAGGAGAGTCGGGAACATGGGCGTGGGAGTTGGAAAGTAAAGTGGGTAGGTAAGTACTAAAGGTGGTTGGATTTGCCACCTTTAGTGCCCATTGATCGCCTTTTACGATCTCTAGGGCGAGAGTGGGCCTATTCTATCCCCGAACCCACAGGGGTATTATTATTATTATTATTATTTTAATAGCGATTTGCCGAGTGCCGACTAACTGAAGTTTTGCCGACTATGGTCACGCGTTAGGGGGGGTGTGACACCTCCCATACCCTCCCGTCAATCCGGTCCTGGAGAAACCTGAAGCACTGTTTGCCCTGGATTCAAATTCGTCAACAATCTTTCGAGATTTACTTTTAACGGGTAACGAAACTTTTACCTGACGCATTACCGAGTTAGCCGCTGGTATTAATTATTTTATTACAAAAAATGTATTGTTACAGTAAAACAAACATTCAATTTATTAAAGCAAACAATTCCTTGGAGTTTCCATTTAGATCGCTTGCAATAGATACCTACGTCTCTAATAATAGGCAATGTAAATGTTGAGAATAAGCCATTATTGAAAACACACTTCAATTTATTAAAGTCAACAATTACCTTGAAATTCCTATTTAGATCCCTTTGGATAAATGGTATCGTTCGTCCGTAAATAATAGCCAATGTAGATGTATGAGAATAAACGAGTGGAAAACACGAAGTATGGAAGATACATTTGAAATAAGTGACTGCCTTCCTTGCTTGATGTATCCGCTGCTAAGATTTGGACGTATTACTGGTTTCAGTCCGATAAACATCAACTGTCAGCATAAGGCATCAGATGAAAGAGCTGCGTTCGAGGCATCAAAATGTGGCTTCTTGCACACGTGGATACTGTTTATTTTATTTATATATCTCACTGGATCGATATCAATGGCTCTTCTTCAAACTGCAGAAATTACGTCTAATCAGATAATCGTTGAACTCATTGAAATAACAATGTACAGCTGCGCAATTTTGACTGGCTGTATTTCCTTAGCCAACACTAATCACTGCTTAATTGCACTAAACGGTCTTTCGGCTATTGTGGAAAATCGTCAACAATACGGTCTTGACTCTATTTTAACGGTGGATTTTACGAAGAGGGCAGTCTTAATATCGTACATACTAATCATTTGGTTGGTAATAATGAATGTTGCCTTTGTTATATGTGTAGCAATAGACCTCTACGATTCTGTCACGTTAGCAAGGCTGATCGTCCAGATGACAATTACAGAGTTGGGCTACTTTATGCAGGGAGCGTTTTTCTTTCAGTGTATGTTTTATAGCTACCTCTACCAGAAACTCTTTGAGGTTTGTTTCTCCAAAATAAAAACCGTCCTAACAACACGTATGGAGTACCATCAACTAAGCACCTCAACGGAAATTTCTCTACAAAGACTCCGTTCGCTATATTCCAGTCTTGTGCACAATTATCGGCAACAAGTCGATGCCGTTAACCCAGAGTTTGCTGTATGGTGGATTCTGATTATGCTTGTACTAATTCTAGACGTGTATCTGGTTGTGGTTATCTATAAAAGCGGAGAGAAACAGAACTATGCTCTAACCATTAGGGCGTATGCTTTCATAAGTACACTGATGATATATTTGATTATAGTGGATGGGATTAATGTAGTGGTAAGTCTTAGCCAATTTAATTTGCTTATCTCGCCAAATTTATATAGAACGGAGACATTCTTCCCTTTTTGTACAAGTATCCCATAAATAAACTGACGCCGGCAGAAATAGTACAAGTAAGTGAGCCTTTTTCCAATAGGTACTTGAACCAATTAAAGCTTGTTTTTTCAAGGTAGAGGCGTTAATTTGCACTTTAACTCTACACAAACCTGTGTTCAGGGCATCGGACCTATTTGTTGTTGGAACGGGATTGTTAGCATCGGTACGTGTTACTTTTAGCACAAATTGTAGAACAATATTACTTCTTCTTCAGGTATCAGGGACAATTGTTACCTATGTACTGGTTGCCTTGCAATTCAATGCGAAATTTTCTCAACAAAATACGTGTTAGCCTGCAAGACTGTTTACTTAATTTTCGTAGTCACTGTGTTTTATGGAACAAATATAACAATTGAATTCAACAACGCCGACAAAAGAAGGTTGCTGTGGAGAGTAGGGTTACACGTGTCTTCATCACTCTTTAGAATAAACAATTGGGCATAGCGGAAATGTAAAAAGTTGTTAATGTACATTAAATACCTTATGAATAAACAAACTAATTAATTTACTACAATAGGTATGGCCTCTTATGATTTTATGAATATTCGCTCTGAAAATTTGCGTCCGAAATATTCGCCTTCAAAAAAAACCCGCTCCTAGAAAAATTGTCTTCCGAACGTTTTGCCCCCGGAAATTGTGGCCCATGGAGGGAGAATTCGTTTCCGCTTGGAATACTGTGTTTTATTAGCCAGTTTTGACTCCACCATCAGTAAAATCTTTTCTGGGGCTACCATATTCCCTTTGTCGATACACCTCCGACATTCCGTTTACCGCAATTGGAGTTTGAAATATTGACTCCACCATCAGTAAGATCTTGTCGGGGGCTACCACTTTCTTTTTGTCGGTACACAGTTCCGACGTCCCGTTCACTCGCAATTCGCATTTTGGTGGATTTCATCTAAAATCCGGCACAAAATAGTACTCAATTTTTGGGTACTTCTCATAGCTCGAGTTTGTGTTGGCGACACGAGAAAGAGAGACCGAGAGACTCTTTTGGGCGCCCATAGTTGACTACCCCTCGAAGGGCGCCGTGCAAAAGGTGGTTCATTTCGCCCCCTAAGAAAAAAAAACAAAATTCCGCCAAAAATTGTGCCCGTTGACAAGAGCTTTCCGACGTCTTTGTTTGTTACCACGACGATAGGTGAACTGTATTCTGAGATGCTCCTTTTGATGATTCCCGCCGCCAACATTGACGTTTTCAGATCGCATCAACAGCCGTTGTAACCGGTAGGTTACTTTTCAACTATTCCTACTGTTTCTTTCTTTCTCAAACTATTTTATTTAAAATAATTGTTGTTGGGCACCGGCTAGCTTCAGTCGATGATCCTTTTCTCGCCTCGAGGAAATGGAAAAGGATAAATGAATAAAAATCAAGTTTTTATTAAAACTTATTACGTTCTTTTTCTCTTAGAAAATCGCCTTTTTTATGTAAATAACACACGTCAAAACAAATGGGAGTTGAGGCGGCACGTTCCTGTAAAAGTAGGGTTATCTCATTCATTCACAAAAATTCGCTGCATTTATTACGTTAGTCAAAAATCAAAATATTTACTCTAAAACTACCGAGTACAGAAAGAAACTTAATTCTTGTTTCGTAAATAAGTATACAATTAGATCGAAAATCAAAATAAACTGCTATAAATGCGTGTAGTAACGCCTCCAGGCACGAGTCATTAAATTGAAAACAAACAGTGTTCACAAGCACTTATTTGAATGCAACCCTAGTAGGTGATTAAATCGCCTTTACAATAACACAAATTCAAACGACAATGCAATAGTCTACGACGGGGCGAACAACAAAGATGATAATTGATAAACTACGACGCGACAATGTTTACTGGTTTATAAATACCTTGAACGTCTATTGTTAACGTGCACTAAGATTCGGAGTGCAATCTTGGTCTCGCTCCGATAGATGTTGAAATCAAATGAACTCAGGACCGCCCACTGCAAGCATCAATTAAAATTTCGGTTCGGTCAATCACAGGCAGGCAGGTTTCAACGCGACTTTTTCGGCACCCTCCAAGTAGACTGTGCACGGACCGCGCATAGAACGGAAAATGGTGTTACGCTTATACTAGGCATTAGCGGCGGCTACATATATAAGCACCAACCGACAGCACTAAGATCATCCATCGATCGAGCGTCTTGGATCAACCCTAGGAGTAGGCAGATTGAGGCCTAGGGCAACTCACCATTTCCGTACCGCTACTCTAAGTAGTTTGATACGCGCCATCGAATATTGTATCTACTTACTCTGTACATACGTTGTTCTTGTCTTGTGTATATAGTGTAATATATGTTATTTAAACCGCCACGTTATTCCACCCGATAACAAATGGAACTGTCCTTCGGAAATCTCGCAATCCTCCTAATTTTCTCCGGAGTGCCGTGAAGGATCGTCTTCGCCTTCGATGTAGTGGCTGAATGGAGATGTTTTCGCTCGGTTCTTTCTCTTGATTTTCTTAAAACAGTCGCCTCACTTCACTATTGCAAGAAAATGCGCTTATAATTTGCGGGCGCGACTGGCACAGGTGTTGCTCCGTGAAACGACGGCGGACAACTGCCTCTTTAGTACTGGAAGTTTCTGTATTTATACTCTCGTAGTGCTTATCCCGTGACCTCATTTCTGCTTTACGCGCACAATCGACTTTCGTTTATATAAACTAATCGCCCGTGAATAAAGCTTTTGTTAATTTGACAGCGGTAGCGAACAGACGGATTCAAATCGTTCTACTAGCTAGGGCCAATTCTACAATGAAGGTATATACCGAGAATAAGCTATACCTATAGAATAAATGTCGACGGTTGCGTTGGTTACCAATGGGTCAACCAATGACATACATGTTGCTATGGCAGTTATTCCAGGATATCTTATTCTCCGTAAAAGTGTAATTGTAAAACCGGCCCAATGAATTATTTACAATAACTCGGACTTTGACCTTAGCATGAATACTCGATCGTTATATGCAGCGTTTTCCCTAATTTACATTATTTACATACCCTGAACGCAATTTTATTTACACCACGATTATTACGTGTATTTAATTTCCTTTCTGATTCATGGCGGACATATTTAAAATCCACATTCGGATACAATGAACTGAAATAAATTCCTTATAATGCATTCTCATTCAGTCACATCATTCGTACTTGGGAATCATGATTACATTTAGACTTTACATTTTAATTACGTAAAAATTAACTTTAAATATCCTGAACAGAAATACTGTTACACCGTCCATGCGACCTAAGACAGTCGTGGTATGACTGCCGGGGCCGCCAGCTTTACGTGCCCTCCGAAACATGGTAGTCAGGAGATGTTCTGTACCACTAAAAACTGGGAAGTTGTGGGATTCGAACTCATCACCTGTGAGGTTAGAGTTCGGTTCTTAAACCCCTACGCCAAATTAACTACTTTTTAGAGCATTAGAAACCGTTTAAGCGCCTAGGCTTTTTCCAAAGCTTTCTTTCATCTTTTTTAAGTGCTTCAGGTCAATTCGGGAGGTTGATTCGCGGGTTGATTTGCGTTTTACAGAACTTTACAGCGCTTTGCAGAGTGCTTTCTAGACCCAATATAGAAGAGTTTATTAGATATTTCTGAGATGTCTGGTCCCGAGGAGGGCATAAGTTCTCTAGAAATGACCCTCGGAACCATGTTAAAGCTTTCTAAGCTCCTTTAGTGAGTATGAGATGGGTCATCGAAAGTGTTCAGAAGACTTCCGAAAGATCTAGAAAAGATATAGCCGGTTCATTAAGGAAGTTTTCTAGAAAGCGATAGTAAGTCTTCTTTAAAGAGATGCGTTCCAAAGCCCTAGACTTTATTTGTTCTTCCCATGCGTATTGCTTGCTGTACATAAACTAAAATGTGTTAAATATATACTAATAAATATTGCATAGTGTATATTATTGCACTCTTGTGTCCCTCTAAGGTAAAAGTGTTCAACAGGAAACCTTTTCTGTGATCATCCACGCGGCTAACATTTGCACACCAACTAAGAAGTAGGTAAACCAAGTTTTCAATACCTAAAAAAGCATTAATTGCACGGTGGCGTGAGAGTATAAAGATTGCAACTTACCGGCAGTAACAAACCGGTGTGTATGACGAAGATTTTCGAAGCATTCATAACTGGCTTTCGTATAATTAAGGTCTTAATAAGCAGCTCTACCTAAAACGGAACGATAAGTTAATTACACAAGAAGACCATTATTCGCATGTGTTAGGCATATTGAGAAGCTGTGAAACAAATGATCTTTCAATAACCGGCTCACCAAAGGTTCATGACAGGTGTTCAGATAATATCACAAAAACGATGTTTCACTTCTCAACACTACCCATTCTACAATGAAAAATATACTTACCTCGTCGGCAGCCGGTTTTTTCAACTTGCTGATTTTATACTTAAACAAGAACGACAGTAGATCATCACTCTGAAAAGAATAGATACATGATTAATTTGAGAATTGATACGACAATGCAAAGTACGATAGTAGGGGGTTACACGCCAGTCAAATTACTGTTTGATCTGGATGTTGTCCCTACACTCAACGAAACCAAGTGTATTCTATATGTAAAAAATACGGCGAATCCGAAAAGCAATGTCCCCCTGGCCGGAAGCTTCCGGAACATATTGTTACAAACAAAAAACGAAGAAAAAAGTTTCTTTTCGCATCTGACAATTATCTCGTTAAATCTGATCATCCGATCTTTTTGAAAATTCGTATTATTTGGTTACTTCTTTTGATAAAAAAATTCACAGATTTCGCAATCCTTGCAACCATCGGAGGCATTGGAAATAATAATCGTACAACGCCATATGTAAAACACAAATAACCCTTATTCACACGGAATCACTATGGATATGGTGGTTTGTCATTTGTTTTGTGAATCTTACTTAGTAATAATAGATTGTTAATTTTCGGGATTACTTTTTTATATTTTTCCATGAAAAACAATTTGAAAAATAAACGTTCCATACCAACTGTAAGTATCTTATAGAACATTCGCGATTCCAAAAAAATTCATTTTTATTCCCATTTTTCCTTTTTTTTTGTGTATAACAATACTTTCCTGGAGTTTCCGGCCAGGAGGACTATGACTTTCGGATTCAGAGGGTTTTTAAAAAATAGAATACACTTGACTTCGTTGATTGAAGTGACAACATCCAGTTTAGACTACTTTTGGAGCTGATTTGAGTGGACTAGGTTGATAATCGGGTGATTTATTTCTGATGAGCTTGTTTTCCGATCTGCCGAGCTGCATAACACCCTCTTATTGAATGAATCTCAATATTTGTCACTAGATAACGGAATTTAAGTTATAGTCGTTCTAGTATCAATGTGCCGCTGAGCATACGATAACATATGCCGTTTTTGCACTATTTGTACATTGTTGTAATTTGAACAGATAAATATATCATTGGTAAAATGTTTATGTCAACGTATGCCAGATTGAGCACTTTCAGTGCATTTCGAGGTGCCGCGCATCATAGAAGCAATATAAAACCAAAAAAATTTTGCAACATTAACGGTTACAAACTGCATACGAAAGAGTAAGTAATATGCATATTCAGCCACCACGACACGTCTGGATTGAACATGTGAAAGTATGATATAAATCCTAGATAACATTGTTCTATCTCTAAGTATGGATAATTAATACAGTAGGTATAGAAACTCTATCATATTATATATTCATATTAGGGAAAGTAATGATAAAATACTCGTTTGGGATGGCAATGAGTGTTAAAATAATTTACGCGTAAACGAGTATTTTTACCACCTTCTCCAGTACCTACTGATAAAAAAATGAGCTGTTTTGGACACACAAATAAGGCTACCACACTCATCAATTTATCCACCCAAAAAAGAGCCCACAAGAGGAAAACATGTGGGAGAGTCACGTGAAGTACCATTATTGGCTCGATCAGGCTCCAACAATTAACAATCCCCGCTACCGTCATAAGTCCAAGATAAACGACGTCCATCAATATCAATATTAATCAGGACGGCAATTGAAAATACGACTACAATTCCGGATTCGTTTTTATGGTAGCAACTGCTCACGATATGAAAAACACTTGAAATTGTCCCTAAATTGAACAAGTAGGTACTCGAAACTGCACGCGATGTAATTCTTGCCCAGCATTCTAGACCGTTTGGAGGTAACAATAAACAAAACAACTGACTGTAAAATTCGATGAATTTATTATCTACTTGTCTTATATAATGTGATGTGTAATAAAGTTTATTAATAAGTTAAACGTGATTGTTACGATTTAAACAATCATAAATTGTGCACAACTCCTGCGCAGATAAAGCGCATTTTCTTAAACCGAAATAGCTTTTGCGGTTGGTAGAAATTAATTCCTTTCGTTGAGACCTTTCATTAGAGTACCCTGAAGGATAAAACTAGTTCCACTCCCCCCTCTCTCCCCGCCCTCCACCCCGTACTTTGATAAAAGGACAGAAAGAAGAGCAGTAGTTGGTTGTCGTATGTGAAAGCTATGCACGTTTTACTTTCAAAAACAGCATCTCAGGAAATAATTCGTGTGGGGGGGGGGGGTTTAGACAGCGAAATTTGATGGCCGTCTGGCACACCTTCAAGGTATAGGCTACCTACTGCAAAAAATTCCTGGACTCTAGGACCATTCACCTAGAAGTTGTTCAAAACGGCAGGAGTGGGTCCGGACGGACAAAACGCAAACAGTAGCACATTTTTTTTAATTCTTAAAAAATGCGCTAAAAATTATATGTTACAATCAGATATAAGAATTACAGGAAGATTTTTCCTCAATTTAAATTTCAGATTTTTGCTAAACCCTGATGGCACCAATGCATATAACTCCGACACTTGTTTACTTAAAACGGAATAAAATATTGCCTTTCTGGATCACAAGCAAGGTCGGCAAGGACTTACCTAGCGGTGCCCCTTTAAGGGAACTTCCATACGATTCAAGCGACTCCTCAAAGTCAGTCGAATCGGACAGCAAGCACGGAGGTGATGATCCTTGGGTTCAAGTCCAATATATCGACCGAATGTTGTATCGGGTATCGTAAAGGCCGTAGGGTTTTAACCCTACAAGAATTAACGACACAAAATGAAACTAGCTATCGAATTAACAGGTCTGGAAATAATAATGAAATAAAAAGGAAATAAATTTTCTGGGTTTCTAATCGGGGAAGTAATAATGCTTGGTATGGAAGGTGGTTCTGGTTTCTGGTCGGTAAGAGGTGCAGGAATCAAGTTTTGGTTCTGGTTTATGGTCGAATAATTGATTTCCTCGAAGTCTTAACAATCACACTTTTATAGGGACAAAGAGGAGCACTAACAGGCGGGAGATAGAGAAGGGATTTAATTTCAAAGCATGGGGACGACAACGGCGACATCTAACGGAGGAATTTTACAACACATAGGTACTACAGGATGTTTACAAATTTTGACGTCACCGCTTTTATATGTTCTTACAAAGCACATAAGACACCTCCACTCCAATAGTTGAAACGTCAGCATTAGACAATTCGTTGTATCCAATCGGAATACAGAATATTAACGTGCTAATGACAGAGAATGGGTAGCAACTTACAGCTTCGTTCCCGGCATAGCCGATCATCTGTTCGGTTCGCGAATGGTAGCCAAGTACGCCGCGGACGGCACCATCGGCCCTGATCACGTGAATCGCTACAGCTGAGACATGATCGACTTAGGCACCAAAGCAGTGTTAGAGAGTAGGCATGGGGTCACTTGGGCCTGGGAAAATTCTGGGGACCGTGGGAACTTTTTTTTCCTTTGATGTATGCCGCCCACGTGGGTGGCCCTAGACCGTGGGAATTTTCCTTTGTTCTATGCCGCCTGTGTGGGCGTGGTCTTAGACCGTGGGAACTTTTTCCTTTGATGTATTCCGCCTACGTGGGTGGCCCTAGACCGTGGGAATTTTTCCTTTGATGTATGTCACCTACCTGGGAGATTCTCTACTTCTCTAACCTGACCGTTAAGGAGAGGACGCTCCTCCTGGATGTACGTCATACGATTGTTATGGCTTTATGAGAACTTGACGTTTACCTATGCTGGACCCGCCGTCGGCGATTAACTCTGGGGAAGTGCGAGCGTATTTCGTACGAGTTAAGAGCCTCTAGTAGGAGTGGGGCGTCACACACACGCTGCGCCTGGATTAATTCTGAAAAACTTTTTTTCTTGTCCTGGGGTTCGAACCTGGGTTGTCCGATTAAGAAGCGAGCGTCCTAACCACTGGACCAACAAACCGTTTTATATACGTGTGTTAACTATATTTAAGACAAGAACAATTCTTTGGTACATAACTATTTTGATTTATATGTACAAATCTCGTGTACACGATCATTTACGAAACCCTCAATAAGATGAAAGCTTTGGAGATTTATTATTATACTTTTGTTACAAAATTTGTTACATAGGTTGATTATACATTACATAGGTATTTTACAAAATATGAGCAGCGTAAAAGGGATCACAAGTCGTTACTTATTGTGACATTATGTACCCTAAGTTTTTTAAACCCATACGGGTGTGAAGAATAAGAACCGGCAGGGATAAATTACCTGTGTTATTAATAGAACATAATAAAGCAAAAGTTATCTGTTCTCACTTTCTCAGTTACTTCATTGTAGAAAAAAGCATGCGTTAAGAAAAGTTAAATTTGGCTGTAAGTAATAATTTGATGTAATTATTTAAAAAAAAAGCGAATACATGTATACAAAAATTAGGTACTACTCGGTAACCTTTACACTTATGTATGCAAGATCACGTTTCTAGAATTTATATGCGCTATAAATAGACACCCCGAGTAAGGAATGTGGGGAAACTGTGATTCATATTTACTACATATAGTAGCGTAATTTAAGAAAATAGATGGTTTTTATTAAAACTAAAATCGAATTAGTTGATATCCGGGAAGTCGTCGAAATGGATCTTGCCCCTACAGATTGCATGCGTTTTCTATTGCAATTTTCTACCTCTACACAACCAATGACATTATGGGTAATGTGCTCAACGAGAAAATTACATTGTTGATACATGGTGCTAGAATTATCTTAAGTATAATATATATTACAAATTTTCAATAATGACATTAGTTAAACGCGCTTTCTTATATCCATAAGGTGTTGACGAACCGTCTGGAGCAAAACACCTTTTTGTGGAATTTGTACGATAAGTTTTAGCAGCACTGGTAGTTATTACATCGTGTTCAGCTGTTCTTTTTATGAGTTTTGAAGTTAACATAATTGGTTCTGATTCTTCTTCTAACACCATCTTTTTTATCTGATCAAAGTTAATTACTTGCGAAGCCTTGTAAGATAAAGATATCCCTTTAACCTTACAAACAGTTACATCGCAACCTTTAGAACTGGACCACATTTTGTAAGCGTAATTCTTTGGACCGCCTGACACAAATTCTTTGATGTAGCTTCCAACGCCTTCCTCTTCTAGTTCATCTGTCAACTCACCCAAAAAGCGACCTAATGGTGGATCGTACATTCCCGGAACCGAAACGTAGATTATCGAGTCCGTATCGTAATATAGAACCCTATCCTCTAACTTTTCCAAATATTCATATAACTTTAATCGTGCCTGCGCAGTGGTGTAGGCGGCCAGTACCACGTTCACTGTCGATAAAGGGTTGTAACTTTCTTCTTTAAATCCCCAGTTCACAAGTAGCGTATCCTCATTTATGGTCAGAACGGAATTAATGTCGATTGAAGGATTAGTCATGATGTTATAAAATTCTCCTGGTTGTCTTACAATTGTAGTCTTGCTTTGATTCTCGCGCTGTCCTAACTTTCCCCAAAACGAAGTAATAACGGATTTCCCCAATTGTCGTAAACCTGGATTTTTATCAATCTTTGCTGGGTCAAGGCGAACACCCTCAGTTTCAAAGTAGTCTTTAACATATTCAGCTCTCTTTTCTGAGGTATCACAAGAAGTAGGCCATCCAGAACTTTGCTGTTTAATGCCCAAAAATTTGTTTATGTATTCATTAAACAGGCCACCAGTTTTAGTGCTTTTATTATATTGCTCTGTGTCGTATTTCCATATCTCATAAGTTACTAAGAGTTTGTATCCTTTTTGGATAGCTTTCTTAACCTCGGCAAGCACCCAAGTTCCTGTTACCGCACGCTCATCGTCGTTATGTTTACAAGGTCCTTGGTCGAAACCTTCACCGCATGAACGGCAAAGCACAAACATTAATTTTTTATTCATTTTTACAGGCAGTACTGGGTGGAATAATGTCTGTGGTGGTAGGATCTTACACTTGATGATTCCGTCTACCTCATCTAAGTTTAATTTACTGCACGACTCCCCAATGTGGACGGTGGGGTGCCTTATAGGGTATAAACCGTACTTGTTAACATAGGGATAAAGCGAAGTAAAATCTACATATTTTATTTGTTCATCTCCCTTTGTTATATAAAAGGATTTTGCGTTTCCTGTTCGACCCCCATAAAATGCGTCTCTGGGGTTTAGCGGTGAACGTGCAATTATATGGTGTGTTTCAGTGTAATTAAACATTTCTTCGGTCATAAGCCTCTTAAAATCGCATTCCCACATCTCGATAACGGCATATCCTAGTTCTATTAATCTACAAGATTTCGCTACGGTAGCTTCATATCGGTACTCCAAAGTCTCTGATGGACTGTCTGGTAAGGATGCGTTTCTAGTATATTTGAAGCATTTCGGACAACCGTGGTAATAACAACCGTGGAACTCAAACACCTCATTGGTTTTGGGACAATATCCGTCGACCTTTACACCTCCAACCCTAGCCTCTTTCTGTTTGCCCGAATGTATAATATCAATTTGACGGGAGCGTTCTTCTAATAATAACCAACGTATTGCTAGCTTTGATTGATTATCACAATTTCTGTAACCGCCTTTTGGTATTAGACCGATAGTGTTTGGTTTTAAGAATGATCGTCGAAAAATCTTATTACACGCACCCGGCAACGTGACACTTTCAGTAAATGGACACACATTGCCCTCCTTGATCATCAACTCTCTAAACTTAAGACAGGAACGCGCTAATATGTCCACATCTGCTACACAGTAATCTATGAACTCTTTTTGAAAGTCAAATGTATAGTTACCGGCCACCTTGCTTGCATGCCACGCTAACAATATTTCTCTCTCGTTGCACTTGAGGTTATCCGGATCAAAGGTTTCTATGGGTGGAATTGGACCTATGTAGTTTTGATGTTCTGTGGTGTTAAATAAATGCGGAAAGTATCCTTTCTTTAACGCTGTTAGCCCGAATACTTTAGGTAACTTATTAAGCGACATTTGAAAGTAATTTAATGAATCTAGAAATCTAACGTTATCTAAAAACATACAAACTAATTTTGTTCCACGCATTATTAGTTCAGGTGTGAGATCTGTTTGTGTTAAAATGTGGTTTAAAATGCAGTGGTGAGCGTCACGAGATGAAGCCAACCTCTTCTCCTCAAGGTCACCTAATCTCTGTTTGGTTTCCAACGTCGCCTTAATCTTTTCTTGCTTACTTGACTGCCTGTTAAGGCTCACTTCCAGCAATTGACTTGGAACATGTTGTATTCTGTACCCGCACTATACTGCTAACACTATCACCTTGGTTGGCAGCCGTCGTCGTGACGTCCAAGGGGTTTCCGGAAGTTTCTCTGCCCCTTGACCTCACCTGATCATCCTAATACGCGTCCATTTACTATAACTGACCGGCATTTTTGTTTGGTTGCGTTAGTACGTATCACACGATCCATGTCGTCACTTTGCTGGGTCATCAGTTTACAACCAATAATTACAGGGAACATTAGTCCACGAATAGATGCGACTCGAAAGACCAAAATTACAGGGGCAGTCCTAACACTATCGAAGGACCCCCCACTTTTTGCACAAGGAGAAAACGCAAACTTGCCAAAATTCACTCGACAGTCTACGAGAAGGTGCAGATTTACGAAAATTTACGTTACAAGCTCTGCAGGATTTCCGTACGTCAGAGTATGATTTTCAAGTATAAGACGATCTAGAATTTTCAAGAATATCCTGAATGAATTAATAAGTCCTCGTTTTTTTTCTAATGATAACCAACCTCCCATTTTATAAATAATAGTTTTTCTTTACTAGATAACACAGACATAAATACTATTCACAAGCTTTCAAGAAGAAGGGGGTACTGCAACGGTAGATTTAACATACGCCTTTGAGATGTCAACTTGTCTCTTTAACACAAGTTAGAACTTTATACCTTTGGTGCTCAATTACTGTTCTCTAAAGTGTCGTTGGCATTGGCGTCGTTGTAACGAGACTATAGACCCGTTTTCGTTGGTGGGATGACGTTCGCGCGGTGAAATCGTATTCAGACTTTGTTGCTATGTAAGTACCTAAGTGGGTATTAAATGCGTAGTGTAGTGTTGTTGCTAAATAAGCGTCGGATGTCATTACTTTAGTTTTCGAAAATGGGAGCAGCGATAATAGCTTGTGGACCGGGTCCTCGCTTATCAATTTTTGTCGTTTAGTTAAATTATCTATAGCAATACATTTTTGATATTAAAGACAACCAGTCGTAAGGTCAATCGTATTTACCTTATGTAACGTGAGAGGGGCCATTATATGACAATAACATATTAATTCATTTGATTACAACAAAATGGAATGCTGCTTTCCAAAGGTGCAAAGCTTTCCTGGTATGCCATTGATTACATCATCACAATATTGTTTCGTTTCTAGTTCAAAAAGAATACGAAAAAATAATTCGTTGTGGGTCATAATCTATAATCATCGACATATTTAAATGGACTGCGCCTATCAATGATAAGCGCGGATACTGCAGGTCCAGGTGAGTGAAAAGAGAAAACTAAGAGGGCAAGTTGTCTCTTACGGTTACGCATCTGACTGGTTCTTTCAATTTAATTTGAATCCGATCGGGATCGCTTCTGTTGAGAGAACCAATCAGATGCGTAACCGTAAAGGACAGTTTGCCCTCTTAGTTTTCCCTTCTCTCTCACCTGCTGTATCCGTGCTTAGCATTGGCACGCGCAGTCCATTCATTATATGTCGATACTCATAAACAACTTACCACATTCATAAGTTTGTCCAACCAAAAAAGGCTCCAGCATAGCAAAAAATTCGGAACAATCACCTGAAATGCTAATGTCTGCCGCATAAACCCCATGCAGTTTACAATCATCCCTGTTGCCGCAAAGGAAGTGTATCCGACGCCTGTGATCATTCCAAATAACATAAACAGCATTTGCATAGGATCGTAGCAATCATTTAGCCTGGTCATTAGTGACATACCTATACTTGTTGAAAAAAATCCGCGTCTTGATCAATCTTCGTTGAATCGTTTCGCTATCGGAAAACGAACGCATATAAGTTTTCACGTAATTTAGAAACTCTTGAATTGTCGCGAAAAGCACTTCGTTCGCAATTTTGTAAGTGATCACCGCGGTACAATCACTATAAAAGCACCAAATGTTGACTAGTTTTAAAAATAACGGCCGATCACTGTTGAAATAGACGTCAGTGAAGTCAGGGTAATCCCAGCACACAAATTGCAACTTCTTCTTATCGCTTTAACTTTTTCGAGTGGAAAAATACTTTCTCCTGTCCAGCGACTCCATAAATCAAAACACATTTGAGTGTTTATTATGGTACTTCGGATGTTTGTTGATTGAATTGTGCACAGAAAAACGACTGTAAGCGTTTTAAGGCAAATTAATGCGTGTATTATATCTGACGCCCACAACGGATCATTTCTAATAAACGATTCCATTGTTCGCTGTACATTGATAAATCCCGCAACCAAAACAACAATCGAAAAAATGAGTACAACTGTACACTGCACTTTGGAAAACTTTAAATCGATCTCGTTTCTCCCGTTCTCATGATAGCAGCTACCCACAAAATTATAGACACCAGAAATTACACCCACGTCGAAAATTTGACCGAGCGCACAAACGATACAATTTTTGGCGACCATTCTGGGGCGTGGGAAAATTATAATGGACAAAAAGTATAATTTGAACGTAACTCCATTATACGTTTAGTGGTGTAATTAAGAATAGATTCAGTTACGATTACTAGTGGCCTACCGATACGAATATAAAAAATTAAATGATGACTATAATAATTACGATCGTTATCGCCTATTATAGTTTGTCTCTCCTCTACTTTACAGCATTCATTATTAGGGTGGGCCAAAAAAACTCATTTCTTTATTTCGAGGTTGTAATAGCGCGGAAAATATGCGAATTATGTACAGTGACATTCATGTAGAAGTAGACATAGGGATTTCGTCTACCTTCAAATGATAACAAGTTAAAAAAGTAATCGTAAACGATTTACAAAAAGCGCATTTCCACTTGTATTCATTTCCCATTTGTAAGATGCAACTTCTGTTAAAATCGTAAAAATCCGGCCACAAATATGAAAGATAGCGTTGCAAATGTGTAATCCATTTTTGACGTGCTACATCAATTTCAGTTTATAATAAGAATTTCATTTCAATGCTTTTCTAAATAAGAAAGTTGGAACGGCGCATGCGCTCATCTAAATTTTGAAACTAACGTTAGATTTTCCTTTGTTCCAAGCAGCTATGTATCAAATTTCATTTAAATTCTTCCATAGATCAAAAAGTTAGCACTGCGCATGCGCAAAATAAAATTTTGAAACTGGCGTTTGATTTTCATTTATTCCAAGTGCCTATGTATCAAATTTCGTTTAAATTCTTCCATAAATTAAAAAGTTGGCGCTGAGCATGCGCAAAACCAAATTTTGAAACTGGAGTTAGATTTTTTTAATTCCAATTATATGTGAAAATTGTGTTACGTTATTTTTGCTCGTAATTCAAATTTATTATTCTTACTCTTATTTATATCCCTACACCATCTAGCTAGGTATTTTCTTTGTAATCCATTAGTTTAGATGTAAATTGTTCTTGTAGTAAATTTGTTATTATCTTAGTATACCGGGTGGTGCACGGTAATAGGAACATAGGGATTTAACATGGGAAATTAGTTTTATGCAATATTCTGGCATTCTGCCCTCCTGTACATTTTACAGAAGAAAACTGTAGTCAGAATTAAAAGGTGCATATAAAACTGTTTTTACATGTTTTATTAAGCTTTTGGTATACCCGCAAATTTAAAAATAAATTTCAACATTTATGTGCTGCGCTATTCATACTATACCTCTTGTTTGTTTGGTTGTGTTGCTATCTGTCACAGATAAGGCAGAAAAACGCCCTTTTGAATTCAGACGGCCGTTACACAAGTTCAAAAGTAATATTTTTATTTTCGACGACTCCTTGATCTAGTGTTTGATGACATATTGGTTTTCGCCAATCGAATTGTAATTATACTGCATTTGTTTAAATAGTCATTTTACAATTATAGCTCCTTTGTTATTCTCGGAACGGTGGACGCAAATAACACAGTTATTGAATTTGGAAAGTAAATAATTCCATAGAATTTGAATAATTTCAGTCTGACGTTAATTTAATACAACATTTGATAAGCTAAAGAATCCCAGGTAGATTTAAAAGCAACTCCAAACCTTTTCCCGTTTATGAAAGAAGAACATTCCGAAGTCTTTTACATAAGTACATAAAGTACAGTGTTAATTAGCTGGACCTCCTCTAGTCCAGAAGGTATCGGTAGGTAAGTACTACAGGCGGTTGGACTCTTAGCGAAAGTGACACTCTACTAAAGCGCTAGCTTCCTATTTATATGCGAGGTCAATTAATTATGCCTAACGCACACCTTAATACAACCCGAGTTACATACGAGCATCATTTGCAATGCATTTTTTGTCGAAAAGTCGCCGCTTTCAGACCTTTCTAAAAAGCGATGAGCAAAACGATGGGAAGATTTGACATCGCCAGCACCAAACTAACGATAAAAAGCACTTTCGGTGGGAGAAAAACGGAGATTTTAATACAGGAAAAACCACAATTAATTATCTGGCTAGAGTCGGTTTTCTTTTTCTGTATACCTATTTTATGTACCTATTCTGCATAATTTCTTTTTAAATGGCCGTTTAAATAACCGTGTCCCTAGGGTAAGGATAAGTTTTATTCATTATGATTATAAGATCTTTGTGAGTTAATGTTTATTGATCATTAAATAAATACATCTATTTGAATGGTGCAACACTAATAAAAACTGTGAAGTAGGGTCGATGTTGACAGTAAGTACACAAACAAACTATCAATAAAAGTGAAATGCAGTTACTTATACGCATTGATCCAGGTCTTATGGAATTGTAAGGCGACCATTACATAAGTAACAATTGTTCCGCACACCTACAAGAAAGAAGTGAGCTTAGCCAATGAGACACGGGAACCTTACCGTCGCGAAGAGTTTTGTACCAACTACAAAAATGTCGCACGCATTAAATATGGGCCTCTGCGCCGTGATGACGTTTATTAACATCTCCACCTGAAAGTACGGCACGGCACGGTTTGTTATTTGGTCGCATACAACATTAGACTTACCTGCGCAGCTTCCGTACGAGTCAACTTACTTACATGATACTTAAAGAGAAACGAAAGAATCTCGTCAGTCTGAAACAAAGGGGCCAGATTATCATCAACGTGTAATACTCCGGTTCGTAGAAAATAAGGAGTTGCAACTTAATGGACGCCTTTCGACCTACTACACGCGAATAATAAGTGGCAGTATTCATGACCGATTGGCCACGGAAACTCCAACAGGTGTTAGAGGTGAAATGGCCTGCGGTTTACGGAACCGAAACTAAACAAGTATCAATTGTGCAGATAAAGCGCATTTTTTTAAACCGAAATAGCTTTTGTTTTGACATCATCAATGGATATATTTCTTGCAGACGTCTCAATCACCCTTTGTGAGTGCCCTCTTCCGACCTTTCATTAGAGTACCATGACGGATAAAACTAGTTCAACATCCCCTCCTTCCCCTCCTACCCGTACTTTGATAAGAGGACAGAAACACGGGCAGTAGTTGGTAGAAAACGGTTCCTTTCGTTGAGACCTTTAATTAGAATACAATGGGAGATAAAATTAATTTTTAACAACATTTAAAACAAATGAATGTATACGTTTGTTACCATTTTATTGCTAATTTTATTTTGTCTTCAAAGTTTAATAAGAAACGTGCACTAGGTTCATTTGTTTTACTTTGATGTAGGATATCTAGGTTAATGTTATTGATGTGATTATAATAAGTTTTTTTGAAAAATTTTCTTGTATGTTACAAAATCGAAAAGAGAAAAAGAACTCTATCAAATGAGCCTATTGAAAAATTGCACTGTCGATAAAAATTCAATGGTTTTTCGTTACTCATTTGTTTTCTGAAATAAAAACAAATGAATGCTGCCTTATTATGGGAAAAAAATGTTATACAACTTTTATATACAGAAATGTTGTATACATTCCATAGTTACCGACATACTATATTCCATACATAATGGCACCCTGTATACTCTTTACCAAATATGTTAATGGGAAAAAATCAAAGAATGCAATTTTGGACTGTTACTGCAGCGCATAAATTTTAATGGGCCAAAATTTCGTTTAAAATATGCAGTAAAAATACTCACCAAGGTGTCAAACTGTTGAATGCTGTCTACGATCTCCCACATGAAGTACAGGGACGCGAGAAGTTGCAGTTCCATTATAAGAAATCCGGTTGGAGCATGTTCATAATCTAACGCAGCGGAGCAAATTATAATGGAATTAACGATTATAATCAGAGTGGACGATGTCAGCCAAAGTACTGAGTTGGGATTGGAGAATTTTTCGAGACAACGGAAAATGTACATGAAACACAAATGTTGTCTCGCCGCCCGAGACACGTAACTTTCAAACGTCTGCTTTTCTGGTGAAATTGACGTGAGATATTCGGACATAAATTTTTTCAAATTGTCATGGTACAGTTTAATGCTAGCGGTGACGGCATCAAATTGTATAATGCACCCAAAGGAGAATAGCAGTTCAATGTAAAAGACGAAACCGCAAATGAGTTGTTCGAAAAAATTGGAATTTTGCTCAAATTTGAGATTGAGCACGTAAATTATGGAAACGGTTGGAGCAGCTAGTGCGATGCTAATTACAAAAAGTGATTTTCGACGAACCCGCTTGATATTCTCCGCCGGTAACAATATTTCTCCAGTTAATGCCGTCCAATTTTTATACATCAAATCGGTCGCCCTGTATCCGTCAAGTGCAATTTTTGTGTTCCATAAACTGTTGACAACTATCTGAAGGTACCGACAAGAAAGGAGTAGTATCATAAGAGTTGTCATCCATTCCAGGGGATTAATACTGTCTGCACGAGCCTGGTGTATAGCAAAGGAAAGGTATAGGACAACCGAAAGCAGCCCAATCGAAATCAGCGTGGAGATTACGCAATGGAACTTTGAAATTGAAATTTTGTCGATCTTGTTTCGGTGGCGGCATTGCATCGATATCGCCGGAAAAGCGATCAAACCAATGAACTGCAATAACGTTTGAAACTCACAACAGACGCAATTATCAGGATCGGTCTTCATTTTCACGTAAAACAAACCAAACTGATGGTGCCCCGATATTATCATCATTAACAGGGATTCCATTTACCTAATGATTCTGAAATTGTCGACGTCTGTCGAATTTTATTTACTGTTGTCGATAATGTACTACATTATTAGCTCTTGTTTTGAATATTAGTGGAGACCATTTATAAAGTTGTTGAGATTATTCTGATTTGATTACCATCTAAACCTCGAAAATACTGTCAAAATAAAATGCAACACTACGATTACTGATACTGGTTTACTTTTTCATTGAATTTTCTCTACTTTGTGGGATTAATTCAAGTCTTGAAAAGGAAAATTTATGTAAATTCCTAGGAGCCGTATAATGAATGGCACGTTTGATTGGCGGTTCAAATTATGGTCACTTAAAGTTAGATGGGCGGATATAGATCTCGTATAAAAAATATTGGTTACACACAATCAACCACTAAGTAGGTACATGTATTCTTCTAGTCACTATAGGGCCACAGAATGCAATTTCGAGCGTTTAAAATACCTGCTATTGTGCGCATTTACCGTAATATTTCCTAATTCGCAAGTTATCCCTTGAACTTCACTGAAATTTCAACTCGCGCGTTTGTTTTTCACGTATATACTTAACTTACGCTACCGTAATGTCTCCGAAATTAATGTACGCTCTAGAAAATTAGAGTGTCGCACCAAAACATAAAAACACCCCTCATTAATTTCCAAGTAACTCTTCCTCCCTTCTAGATGAGAATCTGCTTTTCACAAATAATACAATAATACAAACCCCACGGTAATTTACAGGGGGTTGATCTAAATTCGCTTAAAGCCCAACGCGAATTTTTGAACGAGTACTCGTGCACAGATAGTGAATTTACATCAAGGTTACTCACATGCGTATGTGAATCGTGAAATCCATAATGAGAACTGGACTTTGAATCCCACACTAAAAATTAAGACTCTACAAAAATACCAAATGTAACCCTCGTTCCTACCACTCCCAAAAAAGTACATACCTCTTTAACTAAGAGGGCTAAAATTATAGATCGACGTGCAATAATCGTTGATGGAAATTACTTTTGAAATTGAAATATCAGCCAACTTTTTTTTATTTTAATTTTATTTTTTAATTACAATGAAGCCAGAAGAATAACGCTCACTATCCGCACTACTGGAGAAGAGGGGTGAAATTCTATTTCAATCAATAATACGAAATCCCCACAAGAACTCAATCGCCAAAGAATTAATACCAATGGATGGCGGCGATTAGAATGCCATGCGTTTTCATGCTTCAGGTGTTTAATGAAGTGCTCTAGCACGGCTACTTAACGAAAGAGAAAAATGAATAGTGATACTAACATTGTTTAAATACTTAGACAATGGTACTAGCGATAACCACAACTCACAGCGCCGCAAAAATTTCGCGCCAGAAGCTACGCGTTTGACAATTCCAAGATTACAATAGATACGAGTATCATTCAAGAAAATATACGGGGAACAATAATAGTGTTTTTAATGAAGAAAATAAACCGTAACAAACCGTACTACAACACCCAAATTAGTCGCCAATACTATTACAATATTTTATTTAATTCAAAAAAATACAGTTAGGTAAATAAATTTCTTTCTTTTTTTATATATAAGGGTGAGCAACAAAAATGTATTTTTTTTTTAAATAAAAATGGTAGGTAGCTACAATGATTAAAAATATAACATTATACTGATTTTAAATAAATTCTTATCTTTTCAAAAATGAATAATAATCTTTAGCGTAATAATTTATATTTATGCACGACCCATTGAGAATTTTTCCGAACATCTTTTGTGGGCCAGATGACTTCGCTTTTTAGCGCATTTCCACAAAAATAAAAAAAGGCGCTATTGTGGCCACTTTGTCCGTCCGTCCGGCTGTCCGTCCGTCCGTCCGCTCGTTTTGCGACGCTACTAGTTCTTTATCTTAAGAGCTATTGTTCTACTTTTTCGCTATTTGGTTCGTTATGGTGTCGAGGCTTGCACCAAGGAAGGAATTTTTCTGCGTTTATTGCTAAAAAAGTTATTGTAAAAAAAACCAACAAACCGTTTTTTACATGTTCCATAATTTTACACTTTTGCCGTTTATTAACCATCCTAGAGATCATTTATAATTTTGTATTGTTGTCTGTCGTCTGTCTGTTGGTCTGTCCGTCTGTTCCTTTGCCTGTCTGTCCCTCCATCTGTCCGTGTGAACGATAATTTTGTTTAGAAATGTCCGATCGCTTATGAACTGAATTGCATGAAATTCAATATGGACATAGCCTTAGCCATATAATACGCAATGCCAAAAGTTGAGTCGAATCGATTCAAAATTCATAGTGCCCTTTTCGCATCTCGACCATTTATAAACCGAATTGCAAACTTTTTTTCTTATAAAAGTATTTGAATGAAATTTGATACATAGGCACTTGGAATAAAGGAAAATCTAACGCCAGTTTCAAAATTTGGTTTTGCGCATGCGCAGTGTGAACTTTTTTATTTATGGAAGCATTTAAACGAAATTTGATACATAGGTGCTTGGAATAAAGGAAAATCTAACATTAGTTTCAAAATTTAGGTTTGCGTATGCGCAGTTCCAACTTTCTTATTTAGAAAAGCATTGAAATGAAATTCTTCTTATAAACTGAAATTGAAGTAGCACGTCAAAAATGGATTGCTCATGTGCAACGCTATCTTTCATATTTGTGGCCGGATTTTTACGATTTTAACAGAAGTTGCATCTTACAAATGGGAAATGAATGCAAGTGGAAATGCGCTTACTGTAAATCGTTTACGATTACTTTTTAACTTGTTTGTCCTGAATTCAGTAGTAAAAAGAAAAATTTGTTGATTTCGAGGTTGATCCTTATTTATTAAGAGGTAAATATTCCTCCAAGTTTGATATCAGTTCATATTGGAAAAACCAAAAATTTCGCTCATGTTTTGATACAAATATTCATTTTCATGATGTCTCACTAACTTGACTTGACATAAGCACAACAGTGACACTTCCTTTAAAATACAGTTGTCAGTGTCACCCATTAGCTGTTATCGTATGCCGCTTAGGAATTTAGCTAAAAAGGGGAATTGGAACATTTTTTTGACAGTTAAAATGGACTAGTGCAAACGAATTTCTTTAAAAAGGCTGGCTGAGAATGTGAAAACAGTTTTTTAATATTCTCAAGTGTAAAAAGGACATCAAATTTAGAAAACTATACGCAGACTGTATTTCTATCGGTATTGTTTCTGTTATACAATGCGATCAAAAATGATTGGCTCTCTAGTCGCCTTTGGAATTTTTGTTTACATGGGAAATCGTATCTAACTTGAACTTCCAAAGGCGACTCGACAGCCAATCATTTTTGATCGCCCGATATAATATAACGGGCGATCAAAAATGAGTTGCTGTCGAGTCGCCTTTGGAAGTTCAAGTTAAATACATGCAAACAAAAATGCCAAAGGTGACTCGACAGCAACTCATATTTGATCGCATTGTACCACAACGTTTCCTATGTTTATGTTCCGCTAAAAAAATACCTGTTTGTCATTTGTTATCCATTGGGCGCTACTTTATGGTGTAGTGTACTTAACCCCCAGATTCTACGGTAACTTGACACTACAAGAACACGCAAATAAAGTCAACCCGGCAACGTTTAGAAATGGCCACCCGAAAAACTATTCCCTCCAAAACTAAACAAAATCCCGCTTAAATTTGAAAAGTGACACGTGGTTAAACAAAGGCAGGGCTCCCTTACGTTAGTTGTAAATAACGCTATGACCTGAAGCGCAGTAGGGATTTGGAAGGAACATAAAATAAAACACTGAAATTGTGAAAAGTTTGTTTAATATATATCGTGATTATTATGATAGTAAACGCTCGGAAATTTAAGTCCAAATAAATTACATTGCAAAATAAACTTTGAAAATGGTAGTTCGCCGAATAAAAATAGAAATAGGCTGGGAAACTTACCAATAAAAAAACCAGCCGTCAAATTAATATTAAATTATGTAGTAAAATTAATTGTTTGTAATAATGTGAATACGTAACATAAAATTATAACATCACAAAAAGTAGCATGTAGACTTCAAGAGGTAACATATAGGTTAAAAACAAGTTTTGGGAATTAT